GTGAGTTAGCTCAATTAGTCGAGGTAATGTAACCCTTGCATGGGGTTTGAATCCCCTTCCCATAAATCAAAGAATTAAAATATTGCATTTTAAAAATAGATAATTTTAGGATTTAACCAAATTGGGCCTTGCTCAGCCTAAACCCAATCAAATGTATTGATTGAAAAACCCAACCCGTATGTAAGAGCAGTTCCAGCGGAGGGCTGAGCCCAAGGCTGGGGGGAGAAAAAAAATGACGTTCCAGTGGATAGCCCAAGCCCGGGCTGGGAGTGGATCCCACGAAGTTGGGCTGGCCCGAAGGCCAGTTCAGCCCGAGGTCGAGCCTGCGTTTTGGGTGACGTCATGTGCGACGTCATCGCGCGGTTTAATATTTTTTTTACCGTTGGCGCGTGCAACGGACAGAAGCCATGTGTCACTCCCCCAGCGCTCCGATCTGCTTTTCTGAATCCAATCCAACGACTGACATTTTTTTGGCAATAAAATTATGAAAAAAAATCAATTTTTTTTTCTTCTATAAATACCTATCAATATCCTTCACTTTCAACACCAATCCTTATACATTTTATTATACTTCTACTATTATTCACTCTTTTTGCCCTACATTTTCCTCTCTTTCACCTTGCATTTTTATTTTTTATTTTTATGGCTTCTTCAATCGATACCAGAAGGGCGTGGAGTATCATGAAAGATGTTTCCTTGTGTGAGGCTTGGCTCTAAATTTGTCATTGTCCCGTGTCAGGCAATGAGATGAAATTTGTTCATATGTGGAAAAAAAATTCATGTTGAATTTTGTGAAAACATTCCGAGGTCGACTCGTACGGAAATGACATTGTCTAGTAGGTGGAAAATTCTCAATAAAGAGTTGGAAAAATGGAGAGATGTCTTGTCAAAAGTGATGCACAACTATAAAAGCGGGGAAAATTGTACTAACGAGGTAAATATTTTGTAATTTTCGTTTTATTAAGTTTAATCTCCTAATATATATATATATATTGTTAATGTTTATTGCATTTTCAACATTTTGTTAATGTTTATTGCATTTTAAATATTTTGTTAATATTTCTTGCATTTTCAATATTTTGTTAATATTTCTTGCATTTTCAATATTTTGTTAATATTTCTTGCATTT